GTGTGTGATGGGTGGTGTGAATGGTTTTGGGTGTGTGTGCAGTGTTTGTGGGTGTAGTGGTTAGTATGAGTGATTTTTAGCTGTGTGGTGTATTTGTGTGGTGGGTGGTGTAAGTGGTTTTAGGTGTGTGTGCTGTCAGGGTGTGTGTGTGTGTGTGTGTGTGTGTGTGGTGGATGATGTGAGTGGTTTCCGACTGTATGTGTAGGTGTGTCTGTGTGGTGGGTGGTGTGAGTGGTTTTTGGTGGTATGTGTGGTGTGTGGTGTGTGTGTGTGTAGTGGGTGGCGTGAGTGGATTTGGGTGTGTGTGTGTGTGTGGTGGTGGGTAGGGTAATTTTGGGGGGCTGTGTGTGTAATGTGGTATGGGGGGTAGGTGGTGTGAGTGATTTTTGGCTGTGTGTGTGTGTGTGTGTGTGGTGGATGGTGAGTGGTTTCTGACTGTGTGTGTAGGGGTGTCTGTGTGGTGGGTGGTGTGAGTGGTTTTTGGCTGTGTGCTGTCAGGGTGTGTGTGAGTGTGTGCATGCGTGCTGGGTGTGTGTGCTGATTTTTGGCTGTGGTGTGTGTGTGGGGGGTGGTGTGAGTGGTTTCTGTGTGTAGGTGTGTCTGTGTAGTGGGTGGTGTGAGTGGTTTTAGGTGGTATGTGTGGTGTGTGTGTGTGGTGGGTGGTGTGAGTGGTTTTGGGTGTGTATGTGTGTGGTGGGTAGGGTAATTTTTGGGGTGTGTGTGTAATGTGGTGTGGGGGGGTAGGTGGTGTGATTGATTTTTGGCTGTTTGGGGGTATGTGTGTGGTTTCTGACTGTGCATAGGTGTGTCTGTGTGGTGGGTGGAGTGAGTGGTTTTTGGTGGTATGTGGTGTGTGTGTGCATGTGTGTAGTAGGTGGTGTGAGTGGTTTTGGGTGTGTGTGTGGTGGGTAGGGTAATTTTTGGTGGGGGTGTGTGTAATGTGGTGTGTGGGGGCGTAGGTGGTGTGAGTGATTTGGGGCTGTGTGTGGGTGTGTGGGTGTGTATGTGTGGTGGGTGGTGTGAGTGGTTTTGGGTGTCTTTCTGTGTGTGTAATGCTTATCGATACACTCACGACTTATTTCATTGATCAAAGGACACCACAGTTATTGAGAGCTGTCTCTCTTCTTGGCAATAAATATTGATTATTCAAATCATGCAAATACAGAGTTAGGATTTGGGTCCTAGCACTGCCCCAACCATGAGAACAGTGCTCCCCCTGCCCCCAGGGATCATGTTCTCCCTAACCCCAGGGGTCCTGCCCCTCACTTGGCCCCCAGGGATCGTGCTCCCCCTAACCCCAGGAATAGTGCTCCTCCCTGCCCCCAGGACTAGTGCTCTTCACCTCCAGCGACAGTGTTCCCCCTGCACCCCAGGGATAGTGCTCCCTCCTTGGCCCCCAGGGATCGTGCTACCCCTAACACCAGGAATAGTGCTCTTCTCCATCCCCAGTGATAGTGCTCCCCCTGCCCCCCAGGGATGGTGCTCCTTCCTTGGCCCCCAGGGATCGTGCTCCCCCTAACACCAGGAATAGTGCTCTTCTCCACCCCCAGCGATAGTGCTCCCCCTGCCCCCCAGGGATGGTGCTCCCTCCTTGGCCCCCAGGGATCATGCTTCCTCTAACCCCAGGTGTAGTGCTCCCCCTGCCCCCCAGTTCTAGGCCCTAATTGCAGATTGCATTCTTGGCTGCAGGCAGTCCTGAGCAAACAGACCAGGACCCTCTCCCAAACCCTCTCATGTGTTGGCATCTCCACGTGTGCCTCGTCCTGGGCGGGCTTTCCTCAGAGGCCATGCTTTCCTCTGTCTGGAGTTTCTGCTTCATCCGTCTGCTCACAGGGAGGACGCACACCCCTGAGTCCCAGGCCACACCTTGCAACCTACAGAAACTCTCTGCCCAGGGAGCACACTTAGGAAGCTGCGGGTCACAGAGGCTCTGGGCTGTATCGGGGCCCGACACGCTTCACTGAACCTCGTGCCTGCCTGCAGGTGTGGAGCACCTGTACCTTCCAGGCTTTCTCCTTCCCGGCCTTTCCTCTCGTCAGTGCTATCATCCGTCGGCCCTACCTGGGCGCTCGGGTAAGTAGGTGAGTTCATGAGCAATGAGCAGAGCACGTCCCTAGCGTGTCCCGAGCTGTGGCTTTTGAGAAGGCATCTGTGAAGCTACTGCTGACATGGATGTCCTGAGACTCTCGCCCTTATTCCAGAGCTCAGTAAGCCCAGGGGGCGCAAGGCTCCTCACATTCACAGCTGAGTGAGAAAGTGGTGCTGTTTAGCTAGAAGCATGAAAAACTGAAAAAGTGGAATAAAATGTTTCCAGTGCTGGAATCGAATAGACACGTGGGCTCATTGAGCGGAACGAAGATGCGTCAGGGACGATGGTGATTCCGCCGATTCCCAAGTCACCCAGCAGGTGGCAGCGTCCGCTCATGGAAACCTGCACTTGCCAGGATCAAATTTCCCTTTTTCTTAAGAAGGAAAGGCCAGTTCGCTCAGAAATCACATTCTCAGTGAGATTCTCATGACTCGTAGGACCCCCTACACTCAGAACCCCGGCTCCTGGGTGACTGCTGGATCAACGTGTCCCAGTGTGTGTAACCTCCACAGGGATGGCTATTCAAGGCCAGCAGGCCGTGTGGCTCTGATTAATTTGGCCAGAGTCATTTACGAACAGCAGAACTTTTAATAAGGAAGAAACAGCCACTCAAATAGCAAAGTTTTGGGCCATCCTGGTTGGGTAGAGATGACGGAGCCGTCAGTGCCGTGGCAGGGTGAGGGGGTCCTACCGAGTGTTGATGGGAACTGTGTTTTCATCTCACCCTGAACTCTGATTTGTTACATGACCCTAAGAGGGTCACCTCCAGTGCCTGCGGCTCAGCTACGTCCCTCCAAAAGCAAGGGGCTGCACTGCGTGACCTTGGGGTGGATGACATGGCGCCCATCACATGGAGTCGGTTATCCCAGTAAGAGGCCAATGCCGCTGCCCGTTTGCCTGGAATTCTCCTGTGAATGGCCCAATAGAAGTAATGACAGTGAGCGGCTATGTGAGAGACACAGAAGGGCCTGGGATGGAAGTTGGCCGACTCCCCGGGCACTCAGCCAGGCGCAGGCTTCTAAGTTAGATCTTTAAATAGATCAAGAGTTGGCAAAATCATTAGAAATCCTGGCAGCAGATCAACCAGGGTCACTATCCCATAAAGTAACTAATACCCTCAAACTCTCTGACCCCAAGCAGTGTCAGAATGGCAGTGCTGTGAAGACGGTGCTCGTGAATTGAGGCTGACCCTGTAATCCAGGATTGTCAAGGTTGGGAGGCGTGATTTTGCCGGGACGTTTACATGTGTGTATCATTATGGTCCGGGTTCTCCAGTGAGACAGAACCAACAGGCCAGATAGGTAGGTAGAGGTATAGACAGACAGACAGAAAGCCAGCTAGATGGATGGATAAGAGGGTATTTGGGAGAACTGCCTTACGTGATGATGGAGGTTGAGCAGTCCCATGACAGGCTGCCTTTGAGCCAGGGACTCTGGGATGCTGGTCCTGCGGCTCAGAGCCCAAGTTTCAAGGCCTCTGAGCCAGGGAAGATGATGGCATGACTCAGCCCAAGGCCGAAGGCCTGAGAGCCCGGGGCAGAGAGTGCTGCTGCAGCCCTAGGCTAAAGCTGAGAGCCTGGAGTGCTGATGTCCAAAGGCAGGAGAAGGCGGCTGTCCCGGCTCTAAGAGAGACAGAGCTGCCTTTTAGTTCTAGCCGGGGGATGGTGCCCACCCTGCATTCAGGCACGTCTTTCCCTTCGGTCTGCTGACTCACACCCCGGGGTCCTCCAAGACAGCTCACAGAGGCTGAGGCCAGGCCTATCAGCCAGCTGACCTCCCTGCAGCCAGCCAGGTGGAGACCTGACGTTAACCATCACTATACTGCACTGCTTCCCTGTCTAATCCTAGAGGGCAGCGGTACGCAGGCACCGCATCAAGCAAGGGTTCCCTGTTTTGGCATCAGCAGGAGGCTCAGAGGTGGAAGGGAAGACCGCTCCCATCACTGTGGCCCGGTACACGGCGGGGCAGCTGCTGGAAGTGGCAGAAGGCCTGTGTTCCCTTTGTGGAAATGACCCAGAGGCCGGCGGCTGCCTCCTTCTCTGCCCGGCATGGGTGCTGACAAGCTGTGTGTTCCTGCGACTCCGTGTCTCTCCCTGCCGGCGGCTGGGAACTCTAGGCAGCTCCTCTGCAGACACTGGGCCCTGTCCCTTCCCTGGCAGTTGATACGGCTCAGCTCTGTGTCCCGCCCAGCCTCACGTGGAACTGCCATTCCCAGCGTTGGAGGAGGCACCTGGTGGGAAGTGATGGGACCACGGTATGGGTTTCTCAGGACGGGTCCAGCACTGTCCCTCTCGATCCTGGGCAGTGAGCGAGTCTCCCGCAATCTGGTGGTTTCTGTGGGGCTCCCCCTTCTCCCTCCTTGCTCTTTCCCCTTCCGTCAAGATTGTGTTTCCAGAGGCCTCCCCCGAAGCCGACAGAGGCCAGCACCATCCTCCTGCACAGCCGGCGCGACCTGGAGCCAATGGAGCCTTTTTACAAATTACCCTGTCTCAGGTAGTTCTTCACGGCAGTGTGAGGATGGACGGCTTACAGGTGTGACAAGGGCAATCGTGAAACTTGCCGGGATATTTTTAATGTTTTAATTGTGAAATCATTAATGAGTTTTACATGAACAAAACTAAGGGTTTGGGAACACAGACAGGATGGCCTGGCACCTAGGGAAAACCTCCATCTGGTGTTCCGGGGCCACCACGCTTTACACAACACTGCAGCTGCATAAATCATGCTGAAGAGCGCTCAGCCCTCCTACGCCATTGCCGTCATAGGGATGAGATCGTTACGCGTTGCCTAGAGGGTCTGTTTTTATCCACGAATTAGTAACCACCCTTTTCTCTCACTGCAGGTAGAACTCCAGGCAGATGTGTCTGCATTTGCTTTCAGTACCTGCCTGTTTCCTTGGGTGTGGCTGAGGGGTGCCTGGTTGGGACCCAGCTCTGGAATTCAGCTGCTTCACATGTGAAATGAGGACACTGAGTCAGGGAGGGGTTTCCTCCGGGATCATGGCTGCGTTCCCCATGAGTGAGGGGGAAGAGCGGGGAGTGAGAACAGCATGCCACAGGGCGGGTCTGAGGCTCACCTGTTGGTGAATCTCCGGAGGATGAGTCAAGTCACTTTGCCTCTTTGGTCCTTAAGGTTCCAGCCTCTCCCACAGAATCCCTTTCCTCCTCCCACCGGCCCTGCAGGAGCCAGGAGTGCCCTTTCCAGGAGAAGAGGGAAGCCCAACGCGGGCACCTGGAGATGGGCAGAGGGTATGGAAGCGTGTGTCCCTGAGGGACCTCCGAGGCAGAGTGAAGGGGAACACAGCGTGGGAGATGCCAGAAGGCGGAGGAGACAGGATGGTGGCAAGAGTGACGTTTCCAGGGTTCATGAGGTAAAGGTGTGTCATCTATCAGTACAGTGTAACGGCTCGGGAGGGAACAGATCAATGTTTACGAGAAAAGGCTGGACAGACGCAGTGAGAGTATTTATTCATCTGTGTCGAGAGTAACTACATGACCCTAATTTGCCTGTGTTTGGGAAACAGTTGTACTGGTGGCTCTGGGAACACGAAGCTGTTCTCCGGGATTCAGTGTTGGTGCCACTTTGCCCTCAGAGGGCTCTCGGCAGCCTGTGAGTGTCCCGGCCTTCCTTCCCATCACTGTCCTGCAAAAACACAGATCAAACATTAATAACGTCTGAATTTTGACTGCCCCAGGAATAGCACGCACGTTATACAAGACAGAAGGGCCTGGGTGGGAGCTCTTTCCACAAAGGACCGCTGGTGAGATGGGCCATCCTTCTTCCTCGTCATGCGGGCAGGGGAGTTCCTGGCTCCAGGATGAGCATTTGTTTGCAGGAGGCCACAGAGGATCCACGTGGCAAAGGCTCCTACCCACAGAGTGGGATCTGGGATCCGCAGGCTTGGTCCTTCAGAAAGAAGCCGTGCTGAGCACACAGATCCCCTCGGCCACAGACACACGCACAGGATGCCCGCCCTTGCCGCTGGTGTCACTCAGGCTAAATAGGGGCCCTGGGGAAGCACCGCCCTTGCTGTGGCTCTAATAGGCATCCTGGTGCATTAGATTCACGAAGAGACTCACTCCCAGGGCAGGTATTTGGGTTCCATGCTTGGGAGCCAGGTACAAAGACGAACCTGCTCTCAGCAGAACGACCCTGGCTCTGCTCGTCTCGAAGACGGGGTCTTTCTTCGCACTGGATTTTGTGAGGGAGCCTGATCATGTTGGCTTCCCCCTAATGTAGGCAACTGACTTTGTTTAAATGAAAATGTGTGTTTTTAGTTGACAAATAATACCTGCATCTATGTACATTTTAAATGTGGTTTTAATATATTTACACCGTGAAGAGATTACATCAAGTTAATTAACATATCATCACCTCGAATATCTTTTTGGCACTGAGAATTGTTTAAAACCCATTATTTTAGGGTCTGGGCATGGTCCCAGCACTTTGGGAATTTCAGACTCTTGGATCTCTTGGGCCTAAGGGCTCAGCACCAGCCTGGGCAGTACAGTGAGATTGCACCTTTGCAAAAAGTTCACAAATTAGCCAGGCCTGGTGGTGAGTGCCTGCAGCCCCAGCCACTCGGGAGGCCGAGGCAGGAGGATTTCTGGAGCAGGGGTTCGAGGCTTCAGTGAGCTGTGATTGTGCCAACTGCTCCCCTATGGTTATAGCTGTTTTGAATTACGCGATGACGGTGAGGCACGTGCCCCATTACACAATGACGGTGAGGCACGTGCCCCATTACACAATGACGGTGAGGCACGTGCCCCATTACACAATGACGGTGAGGCACGTGCCCCACACCGCGAGGCAGATCTGAGGCGTCCTTCTCCTGAGGAGACCTCGTGCCTGTGACCAGCCTCTGCCCCTCCCCTCTGGAGTCCCCTGTTCTGCTCTCTGCTTCTCTAAGTTCAAAGGTCAAACTTACACAAGTGACTTTTTCATGTGGCATCACTTGGGGCTCTGCATACAAGGTAGAGGTGGCAAAACACACTCTTTTTCCACACTGATTTTAACTATTCCACTTGAAAATCAGAATTCAAAAGTCAGCATTCTGCGTCAGCTTCTCCCTCCTCTCCTGTGCTCACAGCAGACGCCTGAAAGGCAGCCCTTAGTTTGGAACCGGTTTGTAAAATGCAGGCACTTTCATTCCTGTCACTGTGTCTGTGCTTTTGGAAAGCAGGTTCACATCTGACTCACTGTCATTAGCGCAGATCGGGCCAGAGCCACAGAGTAAACAGAAGGAAGGTGCAGATCGGGCCAGAGCCACAGAGTAAACAGAAATATGCCGGAGCCTCCACAGAGCGGCTCCAGTGCCCGGATCCTGCCCAGCCCCTGCCACAGCCATGGAAACACACGGCACTGTGTGGCCTTGGGAGGTCCAGGCTGCCCACTGTTCCGGGTCCTGAGCCTGAGCCGTCCCCATGGCCCGGCGCTTCCTGCATCTCAGCTGGGGAGTCACGCCACTTGTCTCCAAGATGGGCAGTGTGGCTTTAGTGCCAGCACCTGTCCTGTGGGAGACACATGTGCGGCTATTGGGAGAGATCCCGGCATCATGACTGTGGAGGGGAAGAGCCTGGCATCGTGACGGTGGAGGGGGGAGATCCTGGCATTGTGACTGTGGAAGGGGAGAGCCTGGCATCATGACTGTGGGAGGGGAGAGCCTGGGATCGTGACTATGGGGGAGAGACCCTGGCATCGTGACTGTGGAATAAGAGAGGCTGGCATCATGCCTGTGGAAGGGGAGAGCCTGGCATCGTGACTGTGGAGGGAGAGAGGCTGCATCATGACTGTGGAGGGGGGAGAGCCTGGCATCGTGACTGTGGAGGGGGGAGTGTGTAATTATGGAGGGAGGAGGGAGCCTGGCATTGTGACTGTGGAGGGGGAGAGCCTGGCATAGTAACTATGGAGGGAGGAGGGAGCCTGGCATCGTGACTGTGGAGGGGGAGAGCCTGGCATTGTAACTATGGAGAAAGGAGGGAGCCTGGCATCGTGACTGTGGAGGGGGAGAGCCTGGCATTGTGATTGTGGAGGGAGAGAGGCTGGCATCATGCCTGTGGAAGGGGAGAGCCTGGCATCGTGACTGTTGAGGAGGGAGCCTGGCATCGTGACTGTGGAGGGAGAGAGGCTGGCATCGTGACTGTGGAGGGGGGAGAGCCTGGCATCGTGATTGTGGATGGGGGGAGAGCCTGGCATCCTGATTGTTGAGGAGGGAGCCTGGCATCGTGACTGTGGAGGGAGGAGAGCCTGGCATTGTGACTGTGGAGGGAGAGAGGCTGGCATCGTGACTGTGGAGTGGAAGCGCCTGGCATTATGACTTTGGAGGGAGGAGAGCCTGGCATCGTGACTGTGGATGGGGGAGAGCCTGGCATCGTGATTATGGAGGGGGAGAGCCTGGCATCGTGACTGTGGAGGGGGGAGAGGCTGGCATCGTGACTGCGGATGGGGGAGAGCCTGGCATCGTGACTGCAGAGGGGGGAGAGCCTGGCATCGTGACTGCGGAGGGGGGAGAGCCTGGCATCGTGACCGCAGGGGGGGAGAACCTGGCATCGTGACTGTGGAGGGGGGGAGAGCCTGGCATCGTGATTATGGAGGGGGAGAGCCTGGCATCGTGACTGTGGAGGGGGGAGAGCCTGGCATCGTGATTATGGAGGGGGAGAGCTTAGCATCATGACTGTGGATGGGGGAGAGCCTGGCATCGTGACTGCAGAGGGGGGAGAGCCTGGCATCGTGACTGCGGAGGGGGGGAGAGCCTGGCATCGTGATTATGGAGGGGGAGAGCCTGGCATCGTGATTATGGAGGGGGAGAGCCTGGCATCCTGACTGTGGATGGGGGAGAGCCTGGCATCGTGACTGTGGAGGGGGGAGAGCCTGGCATCGTGACCGCAGGGGGGAGAGCCTGGCACCGTGACCGCAGAGGGGGGAGAGCCTGGCATCATGACTGTGGAGAGGGGAGAGCCTGGCATCGTGACCACAGAGGGGGGAGAGCCTGGCATCGTGACTGTGGAGGGGGGAGAGCCTGGCATCGTGACCGCAGAGGGGGGAGAGCCTGGCATCGTGACCGCAGAGGGGGAGAGCCTGGCATCGTGACCGCAGAGGGGGAGAGCCTGGCATCGTGACTGTGGATGGGGGAGAGCCTGGCACCGTGACCGCAGAGGGGGAGAGGCTGGCATTGTGACTGTGGATGGGGGAGAGCCTTGCATCATGACTGTGGAGGCGGGAGAGCCTAGCATCGTGACCGCAGAGGGGGAGAGCCTGGCATCGTGACCGCAGAGGGGGAGAGCCTGGCACCGTGACCGCAGAGGGGGAGAGCCTGGCACCGTGACTGTGGAGGGGAGAGCCTGGCACCGTGACTGTGGAGGGGAGAACTCGGCATGGGTCGGGCATGGCAGCTGTGCTTATCTTCGGCAGAAACACTCCCACCCACTTTCATTTCACACTTCAGTCAAGTCAACCATGATCTAATGCATTTTGGAGAAATGAGCACTGTTCTCTTCACAGGAAAAGTGATCCTAGCATTTTTCAGCCAAGAGGACTCTGACTTCTCGCAGCTGAGCTGCGGCTCTCCTGCAACAGTCATGCAGGAGACCCGGGCTGCGGTGAGGTTGCCCCCCAGTCACTGCCAGGAGATGCATTCACATGACAGACAGTGTTTAGCTTTTCCTGGTCGGGCATCATGCCTGCTCGGCAAAGGGCCCAACACCGTCTTCCACCTGAGGGTGAAGACCCCGGGGCAGACCTGGAGATGAGCGGAGGAAGGGCTGTCCCAGGGGAGCAAGGTAGAGGCCCCTGGCCTCCGGGAGGCATGGAGTGCTGGGGCCAGCATGGGAAGGGAGCTCTGGTGAGACTGGGACCTTCTGAGGAGGGAAGAACCAGTTATCCAAAAACTTACCAAAAAATACTGTGGGATTTAACCGTAGGCACAAAACAGCTTTCCTTCCCATCAGAAGCTAAGAGCCACTCTACTTTCCAGCTGCTTGTTTGCCTCGATTCTAAGTGTTTACCTGCCCCACCCCCCACTCCCCAAACACTGAGTGTCTGGCCTCCCTCCCTTGCCTCAGGGGTCATCATCCCTGACCTCTGCCTGGAGCCATCATCGCGGGTGCTGAGCTTACCGCCCACCTGCCTGAGAGGACCAGGGGCCCTGGATGTGGCTTTCCAGGGTCCCGTGTCAATGCGGCAATGGCGGACAACGCTGTCATGCCTACACACAGTTCCCACGCTCCTCCTGGGGAGCAGCGGCAGCACCACACACTGTACACAGCCGCCCCAGCAGCGTCGGCAGACGCCACATCGGCAACAGCAAACGAAAGGCCGGTGCACACTCACCCCCACCCTGCGGACTCCGACGCTAGGCCTGCCTGGAAGACAGCCGTCCTGTCGGTGGGAGCCCCTGAGTCTGCCTCTCCTCTGCACAGGCCCAGCGGTCCTTGGTGGCTTCAGGGCTTGTGACGGTGCCATCGGGAGCAAGTGGCATTTACTCATTACTTCAGCCTGGTCACCGAGGGGGACGGGGCTATCGCTTGAGTCTGACTTGGTGACTTCTCCGCATCTGTTTTCTCATTCGTAAAGTGGGATAAAATAGCAACTTCCTTCAGCGAGAATCCACTGACATCAAGAGTGCCAGGAGTTAGCACCAAGAC